ACACTATTGCGATAAGGGCAATTGAAAACTCAGTCATGTATCTGACAAAGATTTGTAACTGGCAAAAAAAAGCACTCCTATAATGGAATTATACAAATGTGCTGAACATATCACAAAGGAATATATGCAACAAAGGAGTAAACATAAAAAATGCTCATTATGAAAAATATAATCAGGCAAATGCAAATTGAAACCACAGTATGACGTGTTTACTATACACCCACTAGGAATGGCTAAAATTTTTTTTAAAAACATGACACCATGGTGCTGACAAAATTTTCATATATTGTTGATGGAAATATAAAATGGTATAATCAGTTTGGGAAGATGTCAGTTGTTTCTTATAAAATTAAACATACAACTATGACTCAACAATTTTTCATGCCAAGGGGAATATAAACAAGTGCTCACATGAAAACTTGTAGAAAAATGCTCATAGCAGATGTTCACGATAATCTCTAAAAAATAGAAATGGTTCATATCTAAAAACTGGAAATGGTCAAAAGTATATCAAGAATGTCATATTCATACACTACTAGTCAGTAATAAAAGGAACATACTATTAACGCATACATGGACAAATCCTAAAAAGAAATCCTAATCTAAAATCATGTTTTGATTCATTTATAAGGTTTTTGAAAATGAAAACTAATCTATGCTGGGGGAACATCAGAAAAATCAGCAGTTCCCTGGGGGGTGAGGGTAGAATAAAAAATTGACTGAGCCAGGGATTTAACTCAGTGGTTCTGGTGCCTGCCTCACAAGCACAAGAACCCAAGTTTAATCCCAGGTACAAAAAACAAAAACAAAATGCACACACACAAAATTATCTGACTGAGAAGGAACATTAAGGATTTGAGGAAGTGATAACATTTATCTTGATAAAGGCTTAGTCTTCAAAGGTGTATGATCTGTCAAAATTCACAGCACCCAACACTTAAGATTTGTGCACAATACTGCATGTGAACTTTATCTCAGAAGAAAAAAAGTTAAATACCAAACTCTAGTTACTATGCATGCCACAAGGCTTAGGAATGAACTATACTTAGGTCTGCAATTTAATTTTAAAACTGAAGAATAAGGATTTATAGATGGATATGTGAAAAGGCAAGGAGAGTGAAATGTTCATTGTTGAATTTAGGTGGTAAATATGATCTTTGCACAATTCTTTCAACTTTTCTGTATGCTTAAAATTTTTCATAATAAAATATTGGAAAAAATAAGCAGTTAGTCCAGAACAAGAACTAAGTTAACAAAAGCTTAATCTATGCCATGCTTCAAAATAAAGAGGAAAACTTCTTGGGTACTTGAAGTTATTTTACCAGAGCAACAAAACAAAAACCCAAAACCAAACCAAACTACACCTAAATTCTACTGTTGAAGCAAGCAGTACAAAACAGCTTACTAAGGTAAAAAGTTTAACTTTGAGGTGAATAAACAAGGAAGTAAGACATTCCTTTCTTCATCTCTAGTACTTTAGTACCCTAGTACTACAGTAGAACTTTTTTCTGCAATTCTGCAAATAATTTGAGAAACCTGTATTTTATATGCAGTAAGGGCTGCAAGAGGAATTTGGTAAATTATGTGAAGGGACTGACCACTCATATAAAACTAATAAATCAATACTATTATCCAATGTTTGATTAAAATATATCTTAACATTTTTATTGACTAAATTGAATTCCTAAGAATTGACTGAATTTAACTTTAATGCACCCCCACTCTTCATAAAAAGATCTAGAGGTCTAGAGAGTGCCAAGAACCACCTACAAGGGAAAAAGCAGTTCTTCAAAGATATCCTGGTTTCAAAGATCCCCTCTGGCAATCACAAGAGGAAAAAAAGACTTTAAAAGTATTGGTGATTATTAGGAAAAAATGAAACTACAAAACTTGAAATGGCTCACTCGTTAGTTTCAATTACAAATGAATATCATGTGTTCAATAAAAAAATTTAAACATTAGCGTATATTCTTCAGAATTAGAGAACTTCATAAATTCCATTTCCTATCCTTCAGATTTCCCCTAGTCCCCTAGATGTCTTGGCAGTAAGTCTATGGGCTTTATGTGACAGCTTCTGTAAAGTCTTGTAATTTTCAGGATTCAAGACATTTTCAAAAATCTGAACTCTAACTTCCTAAGTATCTGTCCTCCAGATGGACAGTTACCAAGGTATTTTTATCAGGAAACATTTCAAACATAAAAACAGAGAATGGCTTCCAGAATAGAAGTTTCAATGGTTTACAGTGACACTTTGTTAATCTTTTATCCATAAATTTTATACCTACATTATTTTGAAGCAATTTCTAGATAAACCATTCTAGAACACTTTTAACACAGTAATAGTTGCCTAAACACTTTGAGTGGATCTTTTCCTGAAGTGAAATTCCCCATATGACCCTAAAAAGTACTACAATGAAAAACTACTTTTGACAACTGAGCTAGAAGCCAAGTATTCTAAATCAAGTTGCTGATACTGAAATTTAATATTCTGTGTAGAATAAGGAGAAAATAGGAGGTTGTCTTTTGGTATATTAGCTCTCTTAGAAGTTCCAAGACAGACTAAATTTGTCTCAGGTTTAGAAAAAAGTTTGTTCATGCCCACCCTCCCAAATGGACTATTTTATTATATCTGAATCAAGTTTTGAATGTCAGATTTCACATTTTAAAGAAATGTTTATACTTTTATTTCCAAGGCTAATTAAAAGGTTATGCCTTGATTATAGGCTCCAAGGAAATAAAATGTATTTTAAATTCACAAGTCTTGAATTGCAACAGTACAACACTCAATATTTTCATCAAAACAGAAAGCCCATAATAGATTGGAAATATACATAACATAAAAATGAAGTCAAATTTTTTTCTTTGCTATCTACCTTTAGTATAACCAAACTTGTATCACTAAGGGGGTGGTGGTAATGAATCCCAAACCAAACACAGTGCCTTTATATCTCCTTCTTCCAATATTTCTAATTGGATGAGATCTGGTTATCAGTAAGACAATGTATCTTTGTCATATCAAGGATAACTGGAGGCAATATGTAAAATGAAGTAGCCTTACCACTATTTCTGCTACAGGCTGATTAAAATGTTAACTACAACATTATTAATTACTAGAAAAGCTACATCGGGCAGCTGCTTCCAAGAACCACTAAAGACTTGCACAGGAAGGTGGCTTACTATAGCTCCACCCCACCTGACCCTAAATATAGGAGGGCAAGTATTTACTCCTACTAGAGAAGCAAGCAAAGGGGTTTGCACTTGCATGATTTAAATAAATCATAAATGCTATAGATTTTATTTGGCAACAATTAGATCAACTTAGTATACACAGATTTCAGAATTGAAAGATCATAATAATCATATACTTTAACTGTTATCATCAGATAATTAAATATAAGGGAAGGCAGCAATTTATAAGTTTAAAATAAAAACAAACTGGAAACCTAAGGCAGAAGTACTTGTTTTAAAACCATCCAAAGTCCAGACCCATATCAAGAATAATACCTTCCAAAACATCCCCTCAGAAGCTACTTAGGGAACCACTGACAGTTGAAGATACAGGAAATCATTTGTTGTAAATTATGTATACTTTAGAAGTGTTATGACATTTAAAAAATGGAGAAGGGTCGCTCTTGCCCATGCTATAAACTTGACTGGCTGCTGAAATTAAGAAACCAAGATATTTGCAGAGAAAGTTAAAACATTAATACAGTTATGGTGCTGTAAAGATCAGTACACTGCCATCCATCTTTCTTTACTAAAGTTGTCAAATGCCAGATTGTAGAGCAACACTTTTTAAAAACCAAAAACACCAACCAACCAGTGCTGTCTTTTATTAAGAAGAACACTTTAAGTAGTACTGGCTTATGTGGGACCTACATAATCATCTTGAGAATAGGACAAGGAAGAGAAGACAGATTCTTTCCAATGGATTTCACATCAATACAGACTGTTCAAGAACAAGCCCATGTTTCAAATAGTTCTTTTTGCCTGGTGTATAGTTGCAGGGTTGACAGTACAGGCAGATTCACAGGCACATACAGGGTACCCTGGTTCACGAACTTAATTTGCTCTACGATTTTGCAAAAGATTGCCACATTTGTGTTTGTATGGAAGATAGCTGTGGTCATGCTGGTCACCTGATACAGTTTGCAAACAAAAGCAAAATTTTGCCAAATGCATCTATAAATTGTTTGCAAATGAAATTGTTTGTGAACCAAGGTACCACTGTATATCTTTTTTCACTGTGTAACATTTTAAGAGGATAGTCATTAATAGATTTTGTGGACTCAAAATAAATTTCTTAAAAATGTTTGTCAGGTGAGATACAGCAAAGCATTCTGGACAAATTACTCCACAGAGGATAACTGATTAATATAGATCTTGTGGTCTTTGGATAGATGAAAAGGAGAAGACAAAAACGGCTGAAATTTTGCAGAAATTCAGAAACAAGTCAGGCCTTGAGATACAAGTCTAAAAACAAAAAATTTAAGATGTGACAACTATTGGGGAATACAGGACAATGCGAAAATAAATCTACACTAAAATTTCCATACAGAAGTCATATATATATTTTGTGTGGGGGAGTCTCTCTATATAGTTCAGGCTGGTCTTGAACTCACTATGTATCCCAGGCTGGCCTCGAACTCTCAGTGAAACTCCTGTCTAAGCCTCCCAAGTGCTGGGGTGTATGCTATCATGTTCAGATAGAGCCAAATGACTTTAAAAGGAATGTTCTCAGCAGAAAAGAGCTAGATATGGTATTATCTCTCTGACTAGAGATTAAATAACATTTCAAGTGGCCCTGCAACTACCCACACCCCACCCTGTTGAAGCTATAAATTCACATTCTTCTGCAACCAAAATGCCAGGGAAAAACATGCTGAAACAATTAAATGTCTGGTACACTCTCTGCTGCCATGAAAAAGCAAAGAAAAAAAAAGAAAGAAAGAAAAAAGAAAAAAAAAATCACACTTCTTTTAGCAATCTTAAATGCTAGTTTTTATTTACTGCTAACTGTGCAAAGGACACCAATTCAATACTGTGCAGTTACATAAATCCAGTATTAAACAATAGCATATGGGATAAATCTAAAGCAGAGCACCATATGACTTCAAAACTGATTAATACCACAGAACACAACTCAGGTCACACAACTCTTAAGAAGCCCGAAGAACTCTCTTATTTAATATTGTTACCCAGGAGCAAAGGGTCTTGATTTTGTTGTTTTACTTTCTAGAAAATGGAAATTAAAATTTTGAACAGTTTAGTATGTTGTATGATTTTTCTGATCCAGGGAAATAGTTTGTAATGTTTATTTCAATTGGCACCATTAGCTAATACAAAGTTGACAAGCTGGTTGACAGGAACATAACCGAATACAATCAAATATGCTGAGTAATGGGCTAGTTGTACATCCATCTTAATTTCCTTATTCACAGGCCATAGCAGTATCCCTTTAAAGGAATATATTAAATCAAAAGATAAAACAATCTTAAAGACAGATACAATAGTAATGACTCTTGCCACCTAAATCACAAACACCAACATAAAAAACTTTAAAACCAAAACAGCAACAAAATAGCAGTGCAACAATACTTCACATTGCTGAATCTTACATATTCTGAGGTACATAATGAGATGGAGGTGAAGCAATATAGCCAACTGCCCCAGGATTTACAGCACCATGATTTTGAGAAGAACCACTATATGCTGTGCCAACTGGATGACAGGGCGCAACACAGGGATAATCTGGCACAACAGGAAGGCAGGAATCAAAACCTGGCAATGGTGTCTGCCCATAGGGATCTGACATTACTGGGTAATAGACTGCTCCATGAGGGATAGATGCAGAGTCGGCATTCGGAAAAGTACCTGAAACAAAGCATGTATACAGTACACTTTATATACAAAAATTCACTGTGAAAACCCCATGCAATATAAATGGATGTTCATACAAGTGAAAATTAAATATCACTAACTTGAGAAACAAAGCAACTACAATGAAGCACTTTATATATAGTGTCTAAAATAGGCTACCAAAATAATACATGAAAATTTCTAAATTAAAATAATTACATATAACATATAATTGTTTGGTACCACTTTTAGCACTGAAAAATTCAGACATCTATATAGTCTGGTCTATACTTGAAGATACAGTTCTGTAGAGTATCCTAAAAGTATCTCTTCATAAATACCACGGAGATACTAGCATAATTTTAATTTCATACCACTTTTGCTATGACAAGTCTGTTCTAACCTTGCTACAGTGACTATATATATTAGATAAAAAAGAATCTTTCATTACTTGGGCTAATTTAGTTTAGATCATTCTGTGAAATTGAGACTGCCACTGCTTCATGGTTTACTACAATTAAAAATAGATGTATAAAAGGTACACTGTACAAAAATGCAATTAAGGCTGGTACTTTATATACCATAAGCCATATGCCAGTACACTAAGGATAAATAAGATTTTCTAGTTCTGATAATATTTTAAAACTATTAATATGCTTTAAAAGGGGGAAGAGAAAAAAGAAATCAACATTCTCAACATGTACCAGACCAAGTACATGCGTACATTAGCTATCAAATAATTCTTATAACAATCCTCACAAGTCATTTTACAGAAAATCATGCATCTAGAGGTTAAGTAACTTAGCCAAGATCTCAATTATTGAGGAGTGCTGCAATGTAAAACAGATTTGGTTAATTTATATCCTTTTTTCTACTTCCTGCTGATTCACAAAGGGCAGGCCAAAAATCCTATTCTAAATTCCCCAAAATGCCTATTATACTTTGAACTCATAGAGCAACTATTCTTATGATCTAATACAGTGGCTCTCAAATCTCAATCTCAGGATCAATTCATACTTTTAAAAATTGAGAATTTCAAACAGTTTCTATGTGGGAAACAGATAAGAGTATTTATGTACTAGGAATTTAAATTAGAAAGTTAAAAATGTTTACTAATTTATGTAAAATAAGTCAATTTCATGTTAACACAAAAATGAAATATTTTTAAAAATTCTCCAAATCAAAATTGTAAGGAAACATGTCATTGTTCTAGTGAAAATTTCTACTATATGGCTTAACAGAAGACAGGTTGATTCTCATATGATTCAGTACTTAAATCTATTGTATGTTGAAGTACATTGAAGAATGAAGTTGGAAGTATATGAAGAACTCCTTCCCCACACAGAAGAGTTAGGAAAGAAGTCTTAATAACAAGGCATTTCAGGCAATTGTAGGTATTCTTTGATGCTTTACCTAAAGTACATAAATGGTTGTTTCTCAAAGATTAGTAGCAATGTAGACTTTTCATGCTGTTACATTAAACTCCATTGTTTTATCTTGTACTTTGGCTAGCTCTGTTGCAAAATCAGGCTTAAGTAACATCCTTTATTAGTAAATGGGAAACTGTTACTTTACTAAGTTACACAGATCTTCCAAATGTAACAACATCTCATTATACAATCTGAGAAACTACATTCACTAATAGCTCCAATTATCTTATTGGAAGAGTTTTAATTATTGGAAAGCTGTCAAGCATATGAGTGAAGATCCAAGTTTCCCAAAAACTCTAGTTTTTTAAAAAAATTAGAATTCTCATTGACAAAAAAACCCTACCATTTGTTTTCCTTCAAGTGACAGGCTTATTTTGTTCATGTGAAAACAATGTCAATCAGATCAACCCAGTGTGAACTACCATATGTGATTCATGGAAAAAGTCAGTTAGCTCAGCTAATAAACCAATACTGCAAGTACTTTTCCTTAATCATCATACTTCACTCAGTATGCAGGTATTTTATGAACAGTTCCCGTTCTGAGACAGAGAATATTAAATATAATTATTCAAGGATAGAGATTTAGTAAAAAATAAGAGCATCTGTGGTGAAACACAAAAAGAAATTAAAATTGTCATTTTAGTAAAAATTGCACGATGGTGAGAAAGTGATCACTAGAGTGGGTTTGGTGCTAATGCCTTGATGTGTACTTGGGTGCCAGAAGTTTTACCCACTGCTGATTTTTACACTATGAATACAAACGTAACATAGTTAAAGCGACAAACAGAATCTTAGTATTACTGTGAATACTTGTGGCCTCATGAATCTCTTGAAAGGCTGTTAGGTACCCTAAAGGGTCCACAGGCATCATGCACTCAGAACAGCTTGTCTAAGTACGGGGATATAATGAAACATCTGAACACTATAATTAAATTCTACACAATAAAATCCAATTTGCCCTCTTGTGGAAATCTCATTACATACTCACCATTCACTGAGGCTTCTGTCTGTGCACCCTCTGCTCTCCCTACCTCACTGTATATGTGAGGAACAGTTTGGTCTATCAGAGGTGGCTCAGTATAGATTGGGTAATTCTCTACATTAGGCTGCTGCGTCTGCGGCATATAGACCATAGACTGCCAATAGTTGTGGTGATAACACTGGAGCAAAAAAAAACAACAACAACAACAACAACAACAACAACAACAAAAAAAACCACCAAGACTTTACTGTTCTTTAAAGTAGTATAGTTCCCCGCTTAAATATATTAGACCATAATTTTCAGGTGTGATAAGATTTGCCATTTAGAATGTTCTCTGTTATAATAGTTAGTGTCTTTGTCTTTGGCAGCATCTGTACTCATATTTGGACCTACCAATTCTTTTAGAAAACAATACTTTTAGTGTACTAAAAACTAATTTCTTTAGTGTACCAAGGAAATCAGAGATATACACAAAGACTTGAATACAGAGATGTCTTTGTAGCATTATTTTAAAAACAAAAATCATTGAACAATTTAACTATTCAACAACAAGGAACTGGGAGAATTATTATATATCCATGGTGGAATACTATAAAGGCAAAAAATTGTACTGTCAAATATTTAAAGTAAACCATAGTAAGTTAAATGATTACAAAATTATACAGCATAACCCCTATTTTGTAACATAAAAATAAAAAATCTATGGAAATATATCAAAATATAGTGGTAAATTTGGTTTTCTTTCTACCTTAGTATTTTCCAAATGTACTAAAATGAACATTTTTACTTTTAAGATGAAAAAGTATTAAAATATCTCTTCTGCATTTTCTGGTATTCCATGTCAAAACTAGAAAAAATTTGGGGGGGATGAGATCACACTATATTGCTAAGCTATTCTCAAATTCTGGACTCAAGTGCTCCCCTCTCACTTCAACCATCCAAGTAGCTGGAACTACATGTGTGTGCCACTGTTCTCCATTATTTTTTTCTCAAATTGCAGGATTAAACCCAGAAGCACTCTATCACTCAGCTACATCTTAGTGCTCTCCATTTTTAACATTTCAGAGCAACTAAGTTGCCCAGGCTGGCCTTGAATGTGTGATTCTCCTCCCTTAGCTTCCAGAGTAGCTAAGATTATAGTACAGGTATATATCACCAAGCATCGATAAGAGAATAAAAAGTAATGATGGAAATCAAACAGAAGGGTTCTTTACCACTCAGCTCTATCTCTAGCATTGTTTTAAATTTTTGAGAAATTGTTTCATTAAACTGCCTAAGCTAGGCTTAAACTTTCAATACTACTTCAGCCCTGCAAGTAGGTGGATTACAAGTGTGTACCACTGCACCTGGTTTAGAATAAGACTAAATGCCACAGACTCATGGAACATGTAATCAAGTTTCCACATATGACTATAATAAACTTACATAAATGAAGGAGGAAGCAATTTAGCAAAACCAGCCTCAAAAAAAACAAAAACCTACTCCACTACTCTCAATTTATAGATGTGAACTACTTTGGAAAGACCAATTTCTGGTAATATGGCTAATGTTTTAGGGAAATTAGTGTCTAGAAATATGACCTGAGCATTAACCAAGAAAGTCCATAGTTTATCATCATCTTCCAAATCTTAAGATGCATCATCTTTTTTTTTAGTAAAAATGCCATCTTGCTGTACCAGAAAGTGTGGAAAATTGATCCCTAAAAGAATAGAAGAGCTTTTACCTCAAACCAAAGACCCTTTCCTGTGATACCAAGATATCTCTTAGCACCTACCTCTATTATTCAGAGGAGTGGTAAAAACCAGTGTTTGGTAAATATCAATGAACATATAAGTAGTTAAAAAATACAGCTATTTAAATATCTTTGAATTAGTCTGTTTACTTTTCATATCAAATGCAGAAATAACCATAAACATATTCTAAGTAAACAGGACAAAATAATCCATTCATTCCGAGTATGTAACACAGCGAAGGGTTGGCATAAAATGTTACATATGAGGGCTTTCTACTATATCCTGAAGGTGTGTTGCTTAGTGTATAATCCCTCATTTTCCTCAATTTAACAACTTTTATAATAAGAAAAACTGAACCAGTGAGAGGCTAAAATATAAAATTGACCTATTGGGCTGGGGATTTACCTAAGTGGTTCTGCTGCCTGCCTTGTAAGCACAAGGACCCGAGTTGATCCCCAGTACCAAAAAAATAAATAAAACTGTCTCTTCAGAGATCTCTTAGAAATAAAATTTAGATCCCCTACTAGTATTCTTAACCTTTAATGTTCAAGAAGAGAGGCAAGGTAGTTAATGTTTATAATCCCAACACTCTCAGAGGGTGAGACAGGAAAATTGCCAAGTTTGGGCCTAGTCTAGGCAACTTAGCCACTTCCTAAGACCCTGTCTCAAAATAAAAAAGGGTTGGGGTTGTAGCTCAGTTTGAAGGCACTGGACTTAATTCCTCACTTTAGGAAAAATAAACACATAAATTTCAAGACTCTTATTTTTCAAAACAGATATTTTGAATATAGAGTATATCAAAAACAGTTTTAACATTCTTACCTGCAATCCCAGATTGAAATAGTACTGCAAAACTTTTGTATCTAAAATGAAAAAAAAATTGATTTAATGACAGACTAATATAGGAAATTGCAACTATAATTTAGAAGCTTTCCCTTTAAGCATTATCAAAGCAGGTATAAATATGGTCTTCACACATTGACACAATTCTCATTTTTACCTTATATTAAGTGACCACCTATCGTTACAGGTAAGATCATTTTCTGGTACACAGTTTAACTATTAAATACAAATTTTATTTATATTCCTAATATTAGGCAGATGCTATAGGAATGCCACTCTGAATATTTAGGAAGAATCATGTAAAGGCACTTTTTAACTCATCCCAAGATTTTCCTTTATTACAACTCTAGAATATAAGCATCTATTTGGGTTTCAGTTACTAGCACAGATCTCCAGTATAAATCAATGCTCTATTAATGACAGAATTAGTGATGTCTGCTGAGACAGCACAATACGAAAAAATTCACATTTTTATTTACCATTACACACCACCATTAGAACGCCAAAGAGAAGGGACAATGAGCAAGCTAACTCAAAATGAACTACATCCTGTTGATAAAATTTCTCTAGACATTACAGGACTTAATTAAAATATTTCAAAAATGAAGCCTAGTGTTGTGGCAAACACTTGTAATCCCAGCATTCCAGGAGGATGAGGCAATAGGATTGCAGGTTCAAGCCCAGACCAAACAACTTAGTGAATTAGCAAGGCCCTCTCTCAAAATAAAAATTAAAAAAATAAAAAGGGTTATTGAAATAGTTTATTAAGAAGGCCCTGAGTTCAATCAAGTATTACAATGAATGAATGAATGAATGAGAAGAGGGAATGTTCCTACCATCCTTGGGATATGTGCATCTGTGTGTGGTGTTGGCAACTGATAACTAGGACTTCTGATGTGCTAAATATATTCTCTACTACTGAGCTATATCCTAAACCTTGCTCCTAGCATTCTATTTCTAAATATATTTTTACCGATTGACCTGGGATCCATAAAAATTATTATTGATTAGACAATATAACCTGAATTCCAGTAAGATGGATTCTCAGAAAACTATTTTCTCCTCATACAAACATATTTACTATAATTTTAAAAGAATCAGCTTGGCCAAGTATGGTGGCATACACCTGTAATCCATACTCTGTGAGGCTAAGGTAGGAATGAAGCTCAAACCTAGCCTGGGTAACTTAGCAACTCAGTGAGACTATTTCAAAACAAGAAAAAAAAAAGGCTAGGGATGTAGCTCTGTGACAAGGCCCTGGGTTCAATTCCCAGTACCAGATTCCACCCACCCCAATTAGCTTGTATTTTGACTATTAGGAATAGACTGCAAAGCCTAATGTTCAAGCTAAAACATATGAATACGTAAGAGCAGGGAGTAAATACATTTACAGTGGCATGAGATTCTACTCCTTGGTATGTTTGCATGTGTCAAAATTAATTAATTAATTAATTAAGCTTTGAAAAAGAGTGAAGTATTGATACATGCTACAACCTGGATGTATAGTACCTTGAAAACATGGTAAGTGAAGGAAATCAGGCATAAAAGACTATATTATTGTTATGATTCCATTTGTATAAGATGTCTAGAATAGACACATTTGTAGAAATACAGAGTAGTGGCTGCATAGGCTGGGAGGCATGAAGAGGAACTACTGATGGGTATGGGGTTATCTTTGGGGAGAGTTAAGAGGAAGTTAGAAGAATAACTGGATACAGAATTTGAGTAAACATATCATACCAGCAAAAATTCAGGAGTGGAAAATCAGGTGCACAGAGTTCACATAAAACACAAGTCTGGCAGGTAGGGGATTTACCTCAGTGGTTCGGTGGCCTGCCTTGCAAGCCCAAGGACCCGAGTTCAATCCCCGGTACCAAAAAAAAAAAAAAAAAAAAAAAAAAAAAAAAAACCACACAAACAGAAGCAGAAGTCTGGGATAGAGCAGAGGCTAGACTGCGCAAAGTCATAAATGCCATACTTAATCTGTGCTGTAGAGGAACTAAAAAACCACTGAAGGGTTATAAGCTAGGAAGAGATACAAAGTGATACAGCCACTTGAACAAAGAGAACAACTGAGAAACTACTCTGTTTAGGGATGAGGCGAATAAAGGCATGATCTATGAAGGAGACAGTGGATGTTTTGTTAAACCCTCTAGAAAATACTTTGAGGGTGAGTACTGCAAATTGAACCCAGAGTTTTCACACTGAGGTACATTCCCAGTTCTTTAATTTTGAGACAGGCTAGTCTTAAACTGGTGAAGCTCCTGTCTGAGTCCTGGAGTCTGGGATTATAGGCGTGTGCCTACATGCCTGGCTAAAGATAACGTTTTAATAAATCAGCCAAGTTTAACACACACAAATCAATGTTTTTATATATTAGGACAAAGTTAACAAATTAAAGTTGATATTCTATTTACTATTGCACCAGAACCCCAAATATATAGAAATATATTTAACAAAAGATGTAGAAGCCCACATTACCAAAAATAAAATGGTGAGGGAAAAAAGGCATAAATAAACAGATTAATGATACTATGTTCATGGATTCAAAGAGACACTTGTTAAAATACCAGTTCTCCAGAAACTGGGCTATAAATTCAACATAACCTCAAATTCCCATGTTTTCTGGAGGGAGGAGGTAAAAAATTAATCAAATAGAAATGTAAATGGCAAAATACTTAAAACAATCATCTAGAAAGAAAACAATGTTGGCTAACTTACAGGTATGTAAGTTAGACTACGTGACTTCAAAAACTTTTAATAAAAAGTGTGGTATTAGTAGGTTTGAAAAAAATCAACCTAACAGACAGGAGGTCAATTTCCATTTGATTCCCCACCCATCCTATTGGCCAACCAAAAAGATATGCTCAAAAAATTAAATAAAAAAACTCAGAATTCAATAACCTTACCCAAGTCTCAATCTGCTTACCTTGAGGCAGATCACTGCCATTTGGATCAAAGGAATAAGGTGGAAGTTGTGGTGGCAAGTTTGAAGCCTCTTCTGCCTCAAAAGGAGGAAAAGGTG